CCGGCCCCTGCCATTAACGAACTGAACCTACGCAGTCCCGAGCCCCTCCGGTATATTGAATATTTTGTAAGTGAGGCACGTGGCTGTTTGGAGTATATCTGATCGTTGTATCAAATATTGCTTTTCCCTCAGAGAACTTCTGCGCTGTTTAATGAAAATGGAAATCCATGCCTGTTGAAGGATCTTAGAAACACCTGCTTCTCTGAACAGGGTAGTTCAATGTCTGTATCCCTCTCATTGTCTATCAGTCCATAGACACATCCTCCTACATCTTATTAGGCCAATTGGTATGGGTGGATATATTAGCCCTCTTTCAAGTCTGGAAACAGAATGAGCAACTGTAAGACTTTTTGGTTGGTTTTTATTCAAATTCAGCCGGAACTGACTGCATCCACCTCTCCATGTAGTTGCTGTTCCTAAATTATTAGGTGTAAGAAGTGTTTAAAGCCATCAGACTAAAGCAGATCAATGCAAGGGCTACTATTAAAATGTCACTGTTGACTGCAGTACCTGCAGCAGCCCTGCGTGACGGCTTTACCACGTGTGCTGCATGCTGCTGCTGTCTCTCCTTTTTATTCTATTTCGTCTGCTTGATCTGAGCATATGCACCACTGATTGAAATCTCTCCACGTCCTTATCTTCGCAGAAACACAATGTGAAAATAAGCAGAGTCAAAACACTCGTTTGCCAGAATAGTGATCCCTATTCACTAGGTTCTGTCCGTAATTTCTTGAAGACAAGAGTGAATATCCTAGAGGTGAGCCAGTGACAGGGGCTCTGAAAAGAAATCCAGCAGGGATTCATAACAGCTTTGATCCTGGAACATGCAAGAAGACCCCATCCAACTGCTGAAGGTGCTCACACCTTCAAGGCTCAGCACGTGCTGAAGGGCTTTGCAGGGGGTGGGCTTTGGGGTGGGCTGAGCACTTCCAGGATGGAGTTCATTTCTGGGACAGCTTATTAAGCAGAAAGGAAAGGGACGGGCACTCAATCACTTGGAAAGCCATTCTTTAAAACATTTATGGGCTACAAGAAAATGTGTTCCTTCTGCTTCCCCATGGGAGGCATCGGTTTGTGACATCAAGTCGGACTGTATCAGTCACAGCACGTTAGATCACACTGGGGAAGGTAACACAAGGTGACAGTGGGTTTGGGGTGATTTCCATTTCCATACATCACTTCAAAGGACAGACAGTAACAAAAACATACACTATGATGCAAATTGGGTTAAAGAAATTAGCCAGATTAGCAAGAAAACAATTTGCATTTTAAAGAGATTCCAGTACCTGCTTGTGCATATATTTGGTCTATCCATACGCGACCCCAAAATATTGAGTTATTCAATTTGAGTTTTCTTCAATGTCATTTCATCCACAGAGGAGAGGCAGGACTTAGTCCTGCACATAACTCATGAGAAAGTGGGTGCCAGGAGTCCTGGGCCCTGTGTCTGACTCAGAACAAGGCTTTGGGCAAACCCTTGCTCATGACTTCCCTGCGCCTTCGCCAGGGATCGTAACTAACTTCACAGGGTTTAATTATCAGCTCTAATTATAGCATTTTCCACAACCTCAGAAGAATGATGCCATTACAAAACACATTATCCACTTATTGACTGCTTTTTCAATTAAAACTGTTAACTAGTGGGGAAACTAGACCCCAAAACATTTTGCCTGGTAGAAATGTCTCTTTAACATTTGTTTTAAGCTGCAGAAAACAAATCTTCCTGCCATCAGGATCTCAAGAGACTGCAGAATCACAATATCACGAAGGAGAACTCACAATTTTGGCTGAAAAACCCTTTTACAGCATTCAACAGCCAGCAGAGCAATATTATAAAAAACAACCCATAAGCTCCAAGACACACCCGGTGCAACTCTGCACGGTTCCTAGGTGAAAACGCGCAGGATTTCTTTCTACAACCACGACATAACCAGGTAATGCCCAATGCCCGCATCACCTATAGGATCTACGAGAGTTCAGGCCAATCATTGGCTCCTGCGAGCCCTCAGCTTGAAATTTGGGTTGGGAGCAGTCAAAAGATGCCTTCCTCTTCATCCTCCTCCGAGCCACAGTCACGTACACGGCGCGCTACCAGCTGATGTGTGATGCACGCATCAAGCATCTGTTTGAGAATCTGCCTTGGAGGCAAATCAAACACGGCGCACGTCCCCACGTTTGGCTTTTCTGTGCCTACAGATGTGCTCCTCACCAGGGAGCAGTTGATATTCAGAGCGAGCGATGTGCGGCTTATTCAGAGACGAACTTTTAGTTGGGTTTAAGGGATGGGAAGAAGGGAGGAAAACACCAGGCCATCTACACTGCTCTCACCTTTCCTTGCTCCTTTCATTGAGCCATCCAGCAAGCCCCCAACAACACTGTCGTCAGCAGCGATCACACAGCCCAATTCCTCGCCATCCCCTCGGGCCAGTTTATAACGTGTGCAGTGTTTACACCCTCCCACCGCCTTCTGCCCCCAAGCTCACATTTATTACTTTAGCAAGAAGTCATCAAGCCAAAGGAAAACAAACTCGAGGAGGAACAGGGCACAAGCAGGTGAAAAGCTGCAGCCAGGATGGAGTGGGCTGTGCTCCCCACCCAGTGACAGTCACAGCTATTCTCCTCTCCCAGCTCCCACTGCTTACAAATGCAGATGAGGCTGATAAACTCAAGCGATGCTGAAGTCCCGGATTGACCAAGGCACTCACACATTGCAGTAACTTATTTGCAAACTGGGAGGGCAAGGAAACCTCAAGGCACGGTGGTGGGGGTCAGCTGGGCCAGAGGAAGACCATCATGTGTCAAGGTGGGTGAGGACCAGAGGGGTTCCAGGCAGGATGAGATCCTGATGCCACTTTCTTCCCAAGATACCACCCATCAGCCAAGGGATGGACACTGCTGCTGTGGGTGGTCTTAGAAAAACATCAGAGCTGAACTTAACTCCTGGTTTTAAACACCTAAAATCTTTATTTACTTACAATTATGCCCTAACATTTTTCTTCCCCGTAACGCTTCCTCTTAATCCTGGCATTAAAGTCAAAAAGTCAGAAGGGGCTTAGCAATCGTGGCTGAACCTCGCATGACTAAAACTATGACTCAGAACATCACTGGCCACATCATCAGAGGCAAATCATCTCTGCTTAATATTACTAGTCCGTTAGCATTGGCTGGGTGCTAAGTGCTTCCAGATCCCCACAAAGGTTTGCTCCCTGCAAGACACTGTCTCAGTTCTGACAAAAACCAGTCAAATGTGATAATAAAAAGGAATAGCAACTAGATGCGCTGTCAACAGCCCCAGGAGCAATTGTGTGAGCCTGGATAATTGCTCCACCACAGAAAGAGGACATGGAAGCCACCTGGCAACATCTTTGGGTCTTCCAGGAACTTTTTCAGTGCCCAAAGACCAACCTTTGGACAGCAAAGGGTCCCAGACCTGCCAAAGTCACAACGCGCGCTGTTCACACACTGGGTGCAGAAAGACCTTGGGGATAATTTGATTTTGAAGCAAACATCCATGTTTGCTGTGCTGTGAGCTCAGTTTGGCCACCACCATGGAGCTCCACAGTGCTACAGCAGGGAACCATCAGGCTCCGCAGCATGTTCAACATCCACTTATGCCAAGCACACCAAAGATGATGGAGCAGCAGCTAAAAGCAGCATGGATCTGGAAAACCAAGGTCTTTTCCAGCTCTCCCAGACACTGCAGCCCAAGGAAATTTGCTTCGGACATCACAGCCCCAAGGAAGGGGTGTCTGTACCTCTGAAAACTAGCCATTAGCTCTTCCAAACAAACCAATGGGATGTGGATAAAGGAAAAGCACTAATGACTTAACATATAGAGGAGCCTGTAAAACTACCACCACGCTCCCAGGGAGCAAACTCTGGGTTGAACAAGCATGTTGAGGGGAGCTGAAGGAGCCTCCAGTACTTTGAAAGAGGATTTACTCTCCTAAGCTGCTTGCCTTCAAACTCAATTAATTCATCTGGGGTTGTGCTTTCAGATTCCCAGGCCAAAGAGCTTTGAAGGTGCCATCATTTGCTCTTGCTGGAGGTGCTGTGCTTCACTGGTGCATCAGAGCTGAGCACAGAAAACCACAACTCTCTATATAAGCTGATGAGCTTCCAGCTCCAGCCCAAGGATTTCATTTCTTCTCAGCCCTCTTGACTTCAACGAAGGGGAGAAGGGAAGGTTGTAGTTGTTGGAGGATGTTTAGCAGGAAACACACAAGCGTTTGAGGGCAGGCAGAGCTCTGCAGTCACCATGTCAGGGCACCAAGAAGGGCAGATACAGCACGAAATATCCCCTGCTTCACTGTTACCGAGCTACACCCGTACGGTCTGAGCCCCAGCCTGCCTTTGTCCTGATCCCACGGGATCTACCACCAGCAGTGGTTTGCCCAGGCTGGATGTGCTGGGCAGAACACCCCCAAACCCCATGGGACCTGGAAAAGGAGAGA